GGAACAGTTAGGCTACAGAGGTAACATAAAAAATATATATTGAGGGTACTAAAATTTATAAAATATACTCTTACAAATTTTTTTACCCTGCATCACTCAAATTACGAAATCAGATGTGAGCTTCAGTTCTGCATGCCGAAAATTCCATTTTTGTGGATGCATTTCTAGATCGACAATGAATCACTTTGTGTTTCTTGCAATTTGCTACAATTCGCTGTCATTTCCTCTGCAATCTTTATGATGCGCTGTGCGCTGCTTGCTTGCTTGCCTGCATGCTGTCGCCGTAATTGCAGTTCCTTTGAAATACCTTTTAGCTTTGCTTTACGATTCAATACGATTCATTTCACTTTCACAACTTCCGTCTTTCGTATTTTCTCGCTCGCTTCCTTTGATTCACTAGCAGCAGCTATGTATGCCGGCATTTGCAGAGCTAACGTCAAACTGCATGCAATGCCCACCTGCTGCGTCACAACTGCATTTTTATTTGTTATTCCCTATGAAAGCTTACCTTTGACCTGTCTTGGAAATTATTTAACTTTTTTTTTTTATTTTCTTGTGTGGATTCCCTTGCTGCGTGCTGATGCTGATTTACCCATACATATAGTTCTAGATGCAAGTATGAGTGTATGTCTGGATATATATATGTATGCAGTAAGTACATATGTATGCATGTTAGGTCCTTTCATTTGTGCGTAAATGCTTTATTGCAAGAGTGTTGCAATGTCATCGTCGATTTTTATTTGCAGTCATATGCCTGCAGTAAATTGGCAATCAGCAACGTTTACAGTTAAGTGCTGCATGCGGAGTAAAAGCGACATACCGCTGGTTAAAATAATTGTCATCAAATTGAACTGAAATGGGACTGATGGATGTGGTATAAAAATGAGCTGCTGGAGTAAAAATGTTTTCAATATTATACATATACTAAAGTTTAATAAAAAATGTACATGTGTATGTACATATGTATGTATGTACATATGCAGAAATTTTTAGAAATTTCAAAAAATTCCAAAACAAAAGGAAATACACAGTGACGAACAAAAGTATTGGCACAGTAGATTTTCGCAATGTATGCAAAGTTTTCCATGCTAATTTATTTTCGATAATTTTTTATAAAAATATAGTTCATACTACACCAAAAAATATAAGAATATAATCTCTAAACTTTGTGCAAAGTTCTGGAAAAAGCAATAAATTTGTATACTAATTTGCAACTTTTTTCACGCAGGTTCTTCCACACAAAGTATGTTCGACAATAATTTTTGTATGGAGAAAATTGCCAACACTCTCCACTAAAAAAATTACCAAAAATCAACGCGATTTTCTAGCAAATTCACTACACCGCAGCAGCCGCCAAATTAATATTAGGTTATTTGAAAAGTCTCTGCGGATTTTCGCACTATGTGGTATTGGTGCCTATACATCTGGCTACACTAATCTACTTGCGCCCAATAGGCGTGCGTTTGAAAGGTGACATTTCGGGCTACTTTTGTGGCACTGACGATTCTGTGATTCGTCCCTCGTGCAAAAAGGTATATTGATTTGAAAATAAGTGAAATATATGAAGGGACAGGGACTCCATCGCCGAGTACTGTCATTCACCCCGGTGGACAAGAGTCTATTTGCGCCCACAACCCGACGGCACAGAAAGTCGAAGCATCCTAGGATCTCTTCTGTAAGCACATGGAGCGTACAAATGAGCGCTGCTCTCTTCACGATATAAATGCCGGGGTGGACATGCGAGGGAAATTTTGGCCCGAGTGTCGGAAAATTCATCCACCAGGACAAAACGTCCGATAATGGTCTGATTCTGATTAACTTCGGCGGGGCAGTATGTAGTACTAGATTTAAGTATAGAAATATACATAAAGCTACGTGGCTGTCTCCAGATTGAAAAAACGAGAAACCAAATGGATCATGTTGTGATGGACGGAAGGCACGCTTCCAGTACTTTAGACTTACGTAACTTGTTGCAGCCAAGAACCAGCCCGTCTCTGTGCAGTAAAAAATGTGCGCCCAATGCAAGGAAATCTCAACTTCGAAATGCTGCAGTCGCAACAGACGGCTAATGCATTCGCCACATTCGACTCTCACATATGCTTTCAGAGAGCACTCACCAAAAACTGACATATGCGAGCAGTGGAACTTCCTCAAATTAGCCTCTTTCACCATGTTCATTAACCAAGCGGAGGTCAATATTGGCGATCGTAGGTCCTGCAGGTACTGACCAGCCAGAGTTTCGTGGATTGGCGTATCTTCATCGCTGAACTGCGTGAGTAAATCCTAAGAAATGCATTTTTTGATTAATATACATAGATGCTCCGATATTACCTGCCATATTGGTCGACATTATGTGGTAAGCGTGAGAGTTGAGTCCAAAAACCCTGTTCTTTACAACCCAGGGCTCCTGGATAAAAACTAGCTCCTCCCCTTTATCACTGAGGCGCAGGAGCAGAGCTGCAGAAGCTGCTTTAGTATGATGAAGGTTTATTTGTAGAACCCTCATCCACAGCTTCGTCTCCGTCCATCACTTCTGGCGGTATCATCGGCATTCTCTGAATCCGGCGTCAGAAGAAGGTGTCCGGATTCTCTCGCCCCACGGTTAAGTACCGATCCGTCACCAGAAACAGATTGCGTAACGCTATCTATTTCCGCTGCCGAGTCTGACCTCACCTCTGAAAAAGTGGCCTCGGGAACCTCCTGGGCATCTTGGTTAGGAGCAGGACCGATCAAGGCCTTTTTTTCTGCCGGCTCTGTCATTTTACCCTCATTCCCTTTTTGAGTTTTGAGGGTAATGGAGTAAAAGCCATAGCTAATGACTCCCTTGCAGTCAGCGAAGATTGGGAGGCACTCATCGTTTATCACCAAGGCGATGTAACGTTGCTGCTCCCAAACCTCGCTGACCTTCACTATTTTCCAATCTGGGGCTGGCAGTACGTCATTATGATATATGTATGATATCCAAAATCTCTTCAGGATTCGAGAGTTCCTCTGAGATCCAGGCTCTGGCTGGCGGCTTGCAAAGGATTTCGTCCCTGTGCACTGCCATTAAGTCAGCGCTGAGACACAGCTCACCAAGAGAAGAATTTGCTTCCTTATACGGTCGCGCCGACCGTTCATCAGCGCAGGAAACTAATTTGATACGGCGTTAGGTAGAGACCAGCGTCGCGGACAGTTGGCGCAGGGCCAGGATTTTTCCGGAGAATCTTCTTGTACATCCGGAAGAGACCCACTAGGATGGACCTCCAGTTGTTGGCCGTCAGGTTTCCTTCCGGGTGCCCCGTATCTATAATTGCCAGCATCAAGTGGTCCTTGGCTACATCGTTGAAAACCCTCAGAGGCCGTGGAGGGTTAAGAGTAGCAGAATCCATGGTCCCCTTATGAGCAGCATCTATATTGTCTGCTGACCGCTGCGACCTGGTATGCCTTTGCGTTCAGCCGACTTCGTGCCCTCAAAGAGCTTGCGGTCAGTAGTACTGTCCGTGCAGGACTTCCGGGTGCCATTATCGCCTTCACCCGGGACCCCTTTGGAGCTACACTCAAGGGGTATACTCGCAGATTCCTGGGATATAGACGACTGATATGATAGTTTAATTGGCCGTGCAGGCTCTGCTTGCAACCCAGACGCCAGTTGCCCACTACCCACCAGGGAGCTGTTGATGCTGACGCCGGGCGGAACATACTGTTGAGTGAGCCGGTTAGGGACCGATCTAGTGGCTGTCGAAGATATCGTTTTCTGGTGGTTCTTAGTCACCTACTGAGCCGAGGCCGTTCGGCGACCAAATAAATAGGTAAGGGGAAAGAATGGTCAGCCTTGGAAGAGCCCCGCGCTGGGGTAAGTCCACCGTTACTCCCAGAGGTGCCGTGAGAATACAGTCGAAAAGCCCCCTGACTGCAAACCATCCAATGGGCACGGTGACGCATGACACCCCGGACTAGGTGGGCGTTTTATACCTACCACCAGGTACCCCCTAGAAATAGCCTAATTATGCCCACCGCAGCCTCCCTGGGGCGAGCCCGTACGTCCTACCATCAAACCAAGACGAGGCAGGGGAGTTTATACCCCGGCCCCACCTGAATGCCCACTGCGGCATAGAAACAAGCCTACCTTGCCACGGTGCCCATTGCTTAGTCGGCACCCGCTTGGAGGATATATCTAAGAGGATTTTCGCCAACCAACAATTTAAGTTGCTTTGACTCATCTCATAATTTGTAGAAGTTTAAAAATTGCCTATCTGTGCTCCAATATATTTATTGCCTATTATTTTTATTTGATTACATAATTTTCCCCCGTGAAGTACTGTAGAGCCGCTTGCTAAGCATATGACCGGCAGCAATCTTAGAAAGCTAAAGTATCCATCTCAGCTGCAGCTGCTTTAGTTCAATTAATAAACGCGAATGGATGCTCAAACAAAGCTTATAAAATCCCTAAATTCGAAATATTCATTCTAGACATTAAACCAGCCATATTTTGTTTGAAGTCATACCATATTTTATTTCACATTTTTTCTATTATAAATTTTCCTTTATCCTCAAATTTGTGTTTGCTAGCAACTGACAGCTTTGAAGGCGCCCAAGCACAAAAACTTTACCTGGGGAAAACCAGCTGGCTGAGATAATTTGCAAAATTTGCTTATACCTTTATTAGAGATGTACATATTTTTGTAATAACTTTGTTTGTGTATGCCTTGTTAACAAAAAATGTTAGTTAGTATGTACATAGCTAGATACAGGTAATCGTATTTGAGCATAGCAACTTAGTTGGTGCAACACAGCAGCTTTAACGCAATATTTTCAGCGAAAGGGCCAGCGCCCAACAAATGCTGACTACTCACCTAGGAGTTTATATACATACATACGCACTTGTATATATGTATATGTAAATATGTATGTTGTTATGTATTTGTTTTACACAACTAGTACATTAGTCGGAAATTCTATTCATTCATTTTGACCTTGTTACTTAGCAAATACAATTTAATGCAAATTGTTGCAAAAACATGTCTAAAGTGGGCGCCAACCGACACAGCCAGTTCCGCGGCAAAGCAACAGCGGCGGCTAAAACGCGCTACAAAGTCGTGCATATGTATTGAAGTGAAAGGTACTTCCACTTAGCCTGCAAGGGAGGAGCGCATGTCAAACGGTAACTGTCTACGCACTCTTCACTCCGGCGATTGTCTACGTGAATGGTTCGTTGGTTGTTTAGCTGCCTGGCTGGCAGGCTACTTGTTGGTTCTCGTTGGCAGTTATTTCTGTTCGCTTAGCGTCAGTCACTCGCTCTCGGCATTGATTGCCCATCCGCCAGCCTGACCCAAAGACTGCCTGACTGAGTGACTGCTATTTACGAGGTGTGTTAAAGCACTTTGAAGGTGTGTCGGATACACTTCGTTGCTTCGTTCCGCTTGTCCTGATTTCCATTTGCATTTGGAAAGCTGGGGATGCTGATGTTGGCTATGGTGGTTGGTAGTCGCTGTCATATGGACGCTTTGATGCTGCTGCTAATGGGATTTGTGTTGTTGAGTTTTTGGCAACGTAACGCAGTGTGGGCTGGATGCGGGTGATTTTATGTGTGTACACTAGGGTGGTCCAAAAAAATGCATGTGAAAAAGTAAAGTCGGAATTTTTATGCTCTCACCCACTAGGAATGTTCAATACCGAGAAAAATATACCCTTACTTTTTATTTTGAAATAAAAAAATATTTAGAGGTCGCTCAAAGCGCATCGTAGAAATGGTATAGAATAGTTAGAAATCAATATTTTCTACCAGAAAACTCGGCTTATCTGCAGGAGATTCCCAATTATAATACCCAATTGTTTATTGAACCATTTCTTCATCGCAACTTTAATTTATAGCTCCACCAAAAACCCCGAAAAATGGAAAGGGGTGACCAATAAAAAATCGTTAGTATTAAAAAATGGTTAAATAAACAATTGGGTGTTATTATTTAAAGTCTCCTGAAGAGAAACAGAGTTTTCCGATCGAAAAATATTGATTCTCAAGTATCTATACCATTTCTACGAAAACTTTCATTTTTCCCATATAAAAATGCATGGAAAACTTTGAGCGCTTTGAGCGACCTCTAAATATTTTTTGATTTCAAAATAAAAAAGGGGTATACTTGTTTTCGATATAGAACAATCCTAGGGGATGAGAGCATTATATTTCCGACTTTACTGTTTTTGGACCACCCTAGTGTACACGGTCAAAAGTGGCAATTTTGAAGGTACGACAAAGGTTTTATTTACATCTTTTGAAGATTGGAATATGGCAAGCGTTAAATGCAGGTGCGGTCTGGTGCGTAGCGGAACTAACTATCGAATATATTTACTATGTATATTTACTAGACGTAGCAAGATAATAGGAGTGGTGATGGTAATGATTTTGGTAATGGTAATTGTAATGGTAATGGTAATGATAATATTAGTGTTAATGGTATTGGTAATGGAAATGATAATGGTATTGGTAATGCTAATGCTATTTTTTATAGTTGTCGTTATGGTAATGGTAATATTAATGATAATGATATTGGTAACGGTAATTAAAATGGTAATGGTAATGACAATTATAATGGCAATAGTGATGAAAATGGGAATAGTAATGGGGGAAATGGTAATGGGAATGGCGATGGCAATGGTAGTGGTAATTGTAATGTTAAAGGCAATGGTAATGGTAAAGTTAATGGTAATGGTTTGGTAGATGTTAGAGTTGATTTTAATGGTAATGGTAATGCTGATGCTTATTGTTATAGTTATGTTATAGTTATGTTTATGGTAATGGTAATAGCAATGTTAATGATAATAGTAGTGGTAAGCAAAACCGTAATGTTAATGGTAATAGAAATCATAGTGGCAATGGGAATAGTAATGGTGGTAATGCTAACAATAATGATAATGGTAATGGTGATGGCAATAGGAATAATAATAGTGGTACGTGAATGGAAATGGTAGTGTTAAATGTAATGGTAATGACAATGGTAATGATATCAGTAATGATAATAGTAATGACAATGGTAAAGGTAGTGCAAACCTTAATGATAATGCTAATGCGTAATAGTAATTATATTTAATAGCTCTATAAAAGGCTATTGCTTGTTATTGCAATGGTCATGGTAATAATAATGGTAACTCGAATTCTAATGCTAATAATTTCAACTTTCAAAATGATAATATTTGGCAGCCTAAGTTTAAGAATGCTCTCGAATTTTGCTTACTTCCTATAAGCTATCAATTATTTTAGGTCAAATGTAAAGCGTCAGCCTAATGCTCTTTCATCTTGTACTCGCAAAATTACACTTAACCTATTTGATTAGCCAACTATCCACTTACTCGTAAATCTACAAATCAGCATAAATCCTTTTTACCTCAATGGCGCTCTAAGGATTTACTCATATATTTTCCAAGCCTTTTAATACATTCATAGGCCTAGCCGTTGATATATCAGTGTCACCTTAACGCATATAAAATTGTTGAATGTAATTGAAAGGATTCGCCCAGTGCTCTTCGTAGAAGCTCCAGAATATCTCAATTGCATTAGCATAACAGGCACTACCATCGCAGAGGGCAGCTAAATCAATGTCACATAAAGCCTTTAAATTTGCGACATAATAGTGTAAACCTTTTGCGTAAATGGTATTCTTCTTTTTGCTCTCTTTGGCTACTGCAAAGTTTACTTTTGCGCATCCTTTTAACTCGTTTATTCTGAAATTTTATCAACATATATCATTCCTTCCTTTGGAGTCTCTATTGTATAGTTTCTATGCTTTTACTCGTACTAAGTAGAAGCAATGGTCCTCTGGGGTCAAGTTGATTTGCGAAAATTATCGGATTATGGCGTAAGTGGGAAATGTTTAAAAGGATTTACCGAAGAAACCTTTTATGAAATACTCGTCTAGGTCAAATTTTATGGCAGCAAATTATGTGCGATTTTTTCGTGATTGGGTTGAGGAGAGGTTATTTCGCATGTGTGAATTTTACTTTACATACAAAGGCAACATTTTGTGTGTGCATGCAGGGGTACAGGGTGTTCTGATTTTAAAGATTGAATGCTATGGGAATAGAAATGTTAAGACAATATTTTATTTAGGAGAAAGAAATAAAGTGGCATTGGGTAGTCTCTCTCAAATGCAGTACCGATTTGTCGTCTCCAAATCCTTATATGCCTTTCTTAGCAGTGACTTTTGTTGAGATTTTCCGGTCTTTTTGCTTGTCACCATAATCTCTAATGAGTTGAAAAAATAAAACTTTATTGCACATCTACAGGCCAAGCCCGGTCATTTGACACCTCACTTTTGAAAATAGAACGAACGATATGTACATACCTATGTATATGCCACAAGAACCCAAATTTTCAAGTTCAAACTGCATTTACAGTGAAGGTATGAAAGTTATAAAAAATATGCTTTCTTGAACTTAGCGTTCTCAGTTTTATTAATCAGCGAATTTTCATTTACATCCGTCCATAATTCAATTTTTGCTCACATTTCATATGGAAGGGAAGCACTGTGTGTCAAGCTGATTCAATTTAGCCATGCCCGTCTGTTTGTATGCAATCTAGTCTCTCTGTTTTCGAGATATCCGGATGACATTTGGTAAGTGGGTGTATTTTTATAATGTATTTTTATAAGGTATTACTTATTTGTGCGAACCGGAAGAATCGGACCACTATAACATATAGCTACCATACAACTGATTGTTCAGATATGAGATCCTTTATTTTCAGACATGTTCTGCAAATCGTACGATTTGCAAAGTATTGTTGAATATTTGTAATCAAAGTATTAAATGTTTCAAATTGAAACTACACAGACAGAGACACATCATTTACGTTATATCCATCGATTTAGTGCCAAATTTTCCCTCATTGTTATAAATCCCCCGAAATAGATTTTGTAAATCGCATCGATTTGAAATCTTACGATTTGCAGAACATTTCTTTAAGAACTCGTCCATTTATGTAGATAGGAACATGAAATTTCGCACCGTTTTCACTCAATTTTAACAGATTACTTGCCGTGAAAATAACAAAGATGGGGTCACTATTACATATAGCTACCATACAACTGATTGTTCAGATATGCGATTTTTTGTTATAACCCCTCCATTTATGCAGCTGGGAACATGAAATTTCGCACTATTTTCACTCCTTATCAACAGAAATTTTAAAGTATAATGAACAATTATCGGATCACTACAACCAATTTATGTATGGCCCCTATACAACTTATTGTTCAGATATGGGGTTTAACTGTAAAACTCCTTTATTTGGACAGCTAAAACTGATAAATTTCGTAAGCTATTTTATAAACAAAAATACAAAGTCTACAAAGAAAATCGTCAAAATCTATGCTGTATAAGCTTTATCTCCTATATCACTGATTGTTCAGATACAATTTTTCGCGATATATCTCCTTTATGTAGGAAGCTAAACCCATTAAATTGTGTTACCGGTTTACATATCTACCGATCACACAGCAGTGAAAATAAAGTATTATATAAGGTATATCTTCCATACCTCTGATTGTGTAGATATGATTTTTTGTATATGTATGTAACTCCTCCATCTAAGTATGCTGTGAATATATACATTTTTTCAAATGAAGTAATTTGTTTAAGTAAAATTTTCAGATGTTCATGTAAGGTACGAAGACTTCGGCACAACCGAAGACAGCTCTGCTTTTACTTGTTATTCCATCATAAAAGGCCACAAACTCAAAATGTTGAATAAAATTAAAAAATTACAAAAAATGTGTCCTTTTTTAATTTTTTCCTCGTTAAAGTTTTTCTTTTTTCATAGAAAAGACAATATCTTGGGAAAATGATCTGATCTGGAAAAACGGCACACGTATCAATAATCAGCAATCCAAAATTAAATTTACGCGTCTCGCTTTTTTTGTGTGTAATTTCAAAACTTGAGGGAAAACTGGAGTGCAAGGTATTCTGATTATTTCGGGATATACCCTGAATTTTAATTCTCAAAAGTTATGTACATATGTATATTGAAATCATAACCTACCTGTTAATGAAGTCCGCAAAATACAACACCGCTTTTAAAAATTTTAAATAATTGCCGTCGTCGATTCGCCACTTCTCGCTCGCTATGTTTGAGTTCCGGTCGCTTAACGAAAAATTTTGCATGTGAAAGCAACAACAAAGTTAGCTAGCACGGATAGACGATAGCAAGTTTGGTTGTACCTCATTGAGTTCGTTCGTTTCGCCACTTGCTAACTGATGGCGAATCGATGACGGCTAACAAATATTTCGATTGAATGAAAAGCAACAAAAAAATTAAGTTGCCTTACGCCTATGTACACATATCTGAACATAAATAATAACAACATTCCCATCGCACTTCGATCGCTTTTAAAAACATACTTAAGACAGCATGCCACAACTTCCCCTACTGGGACTACTTTGATTGCCATATGAGTCTACGTGGGTATCTACGCATTTATTTCCTAGAAAAGCGATTCCTCTTGAGAGTTTTCAAACTTACTTGTAGGCTACAGCGGGCTACTTTGGTTTTTGGTTTTCCATTTAAAACACTTTAACCACTTGAAAACTTCGCAAAGATTCACTAAAAATATTTAACCTCAAAACTTTCGTGAACCTTGTTACTTTTATACTTAAATATCTTCAGGCCGCTTTGTGGATTTCTTCACCACCCCCCCCTTCCCCCCCAGATGAAATTCACAATGCGATATCAAATATAATACGTTTTCAAGTGATTTTCTTTAACGCAACAATACCCATCAATGTGTGGTTGCCATTTCATGCTGCAGCGCAGGAAAGGGAATTCGGTGCCAGCAACGCCTAAAAAGCCAAATAATTTTACCGAAAATATATATGTATTTAGAGGAAAGGAAAATAAATGCTAACGGTGTGTAGAAATTTGTAGAGAGCAGAGCAAGTAAAAAGAAATATCAAACAAAAGGAAAGAAATGTGACAGACGTCAGCCCACATAATGACTTCCTGAGGAGTAGGTCGAGCGAAAAGCTAAAACGAAAATAAATATGATGGTGGAAAAATAAAGAAAACCTGTAAAAAGAACAAAATACGAGAAATATAATAAAAGGAAAAATACAAAGCAAATAAAAAACTGTCCCCCAAAAGAAAATCAGTGAAATAAAATAATAAAAAGGCGGCGTTGATGCGAGTGTTAAGCTGGGCGCGGCGAAACAAAAGCGAAATAAATGGGCTCATATGAAAAATCAAACAAATATACATGAGGAGGGTCCATAAAATATCAACATCTAAATTTTGTAGAATTCAAGACATTCTAGAAAATTTGGAAATTAAAAACAAAAATTTAGGGGCCGCTACCAGGGTTTGAAAAAATTCCATAAAATTTGGACTTGAAATCTGATAAATTTGACATGTTTTTTTAAGGTATTCATAAAAGCTCATAAACTCGCTGAGTTATAGCTGGTAAAAGTCGATATATATGTACTTACATAAATGCATACTCATATATACGCTAGACATACATACATGAAATACCCACATATATGTAGATAACCACAGAAGTATACCCACTTGAATTTATGTATACTATAAATATTTTGTGGAAAAATTTCAAAAAGCTAAGCCGAACACTCACTAAGCCAACATGCAATGAAATTCGTTAAAAAAATTTTTAAAATTATGTCAGAAATAATTAAAATTACGTCGAAGTGGAAAATTGTTGTAGCTCAAAAACTATGTTTAAATTAAAAGAAAAGGTGTGATAAGAGGGATAAGATATGAAAAGAATTTTTTAATTTAAAATTTAACGAGCCAAAGATTTAGTGATTTCATGAGTTTTTTCATATGCAGCAGTTGTTGTATAGAGTTTATTACAATAAGAGACAATTTTATTGCAACTCAAACCAGCCGGGACTTTAACTCGTATTTTTATTTTATGACATGCTAAAGTTTTAATGTCCATAGA